TTGGATTTGCATGTCGAGTGGTCTTAAGGTTTGTGTTATTTGCAGCTGCCTTAGCCAGTCCAATTCGTTTGTTACCATGGTCGAATACCGTGTAATATTGTGAAATAAACGTGTCGCCAATGAGCCAGATATCCATTTCGCTCGGTTCAACGTTCAATAGGCATATATCGTCGTCGAACTGCAAAGATATTTCGAACATATATTGTTGCAGTCAGTCAGTCAATCCATGTTTTGAGGAACTGTCTCATTCATGCGAACGGTTCATTCAGCAATAATTATGGTAGGCAACTTAACGATGGTTCAATTCGAATGAAAAATGCTTAACGCTAGCAGAATAGAATTCAGATGTGTTAATCAAAGTAATGTATGAAGAATTACGAAAAAACTTAAACTGTTTAAAGGCATTGAGACGTGACTAGCTTGTTCCCCTCGTGCATGTTTTCCTCTCAAAAGATGTTCATAGAGCGAAGCAGATTGTTCAGTGTCAATTCAATCTTTTGATTGGTCTCTATAAGAGAAAAATTGCCTCTACCAGGCTTACAGCTTATACGTTGGGGATTGTTTTTCGTGAGATCATGGGCNTATAAGAGAAAAATTGCCTCTACCAGGCTTACAGCTTATACGTTGGGGATTGTTTTTCGTGAGATCATGGGCGATCAAGCATATCGCATTGAATTTCAATGTGGTGAATAATAAGATAACCATTCCTCACCGTCAACCAATAAGCACTAGCGGGAATATCGTATTGTTTTCCATTGAATGTGAAAGTTAGCGGTAATTGCCAGTCAACATACATACAGTATGTCCAGAATCGCTCACCGTCATACTGAGCACCCACAGCAGCTACTATCTGGAAGCGAAACAAAAGATCACTTATTGGATGATATCTGAAGAAGTGATGCTTCCCTTATTTGATCAGTTTGCCATGAGGAGGGAGATCATTCGATTGACTTTACAAAACAGCGTATTTGTCAGCGCATATATCATGTTGACAACAAACTCCTTGCGCATACAGTAACTCAATCGGGACTCGCTCTTGGAAGTTGACATATTTCGGAACTCCGAATATGCGCACGCATGAATGAGCACCAAAATGGATACATTCAAACCAGTTTGAGCACTAGACCATCCTGTGTTGAGTCAATATCGTTTTCAGTCACTTCGAAAAGATCATAAATCTATGTGAATGGCTGGTTGAGTCATTCTTGCCACGTATTTGTACGCTAACTGAAGACCCAGTTGTTGCAAAAAGAACGATCAGTCGAGCTTATTTGGAAAACCTCAGAAGAAATTGTACCTGATAATATTGGGCAGATGGTACGACTATCAGAGCGCTTCCAGTGTCAAACAAACCTTCCATTTGTGTGCCTATTACTTGATCGCCAATGTTGACAGCATCTATTGGAACTTGCCAAGCGTTTGATGAGATGACCGGAATCCATGCCAACTCACCCTGAAGTAATAGAATAGTCTGACAACAGTGACACCGTCTCGAACGATACATTTTAACGAAATTAATGTACCCAATTTGGAGTTGCTGTAGTGCTGCATTACTTGAGTTGTTATCATCAAATAATAAATCTCATTATTACTCTCATGAGTGATCGTTTTAGTGATCATTGCCACTCTTATTATAATTATTATGAATGGAATTTCAACAAACGAGTTGCTGAGAGTAGAGCGCTATGATTCGTTTAAAACACGGAAACTGAGGTCTGAAGAAGTTTGAATGAATTTATGAAAACAGTGCTAAAGGTGACCGTATAATGTGAGTGGTCAATGCCACAAAGCGTCAGCTCGCCACCATTTTCTGACTCTTCATTTGGGTTCATCCAGAACGCGAACACCTTCTCAGGACATTTGGAACTATGGAAGATTTGCTCCATCGGTTGTGCATAACCAAGCGGGGATGTCAAGCCGTTCGCCATTCCAAGTATACCATCATATGGTGCATACTGCAAAATTGATCCAGTCAAAAATCACGATCACGAAGTTAGAGTGTCACCCGCTTTTGTATCACCCAACCTCATATCCATCATCATCATAACCATTCGTTT